TGAGCTCCGATTCCCACTGAATAAATTTGCAATTTCATTTTCATTGCGCGACATGGCGCCACTACCGTAGCCGCCAGAAAGTATATAACTTTACTGTAGGCTATGAGATGAGAAAAAAAATATTTCAATCGAAGGTTCCTTAACCATTTTGAACTTTAGATATCAAATGGTTTGATACGAGTCAATGCACACACTTTCTCCAGATGTCATTGCTCTAGCAACTTGACAAATCCAGTTACAACTTTTGAAAAGGAACAAAGAACAGCGAGAGCATTCACAAAGGAAACAAAAGTAAGCTGAAACACGAAGCACAAACGAAAAATTTGGTTCACAAAAATCTGAGAAAAATGTCTTAGAATAAGAATAGGTTGCTACAGTTGTTCCTAGAAAGTTAGAATAGTGGTAGAGGCTCAACAAAAAGTTCAGATTCAGTTCTGGGTTAATATCTCATTTAAACAAGAAACACGCGTAGAAGTGTAGAGCATTTCAGAAGCATTTTCACTATTTGAAGAAGCGAAGAAAATTTAAAAGGTCTATCTTGTTTATTCTGAAATTAAGCAGAAGCCAAACCTTTTTCGATTGGGATCGAAGCCGATGGTGGCAACACACATTCTCCATCTTTTTCTTCGAGTTCACCAGGACATAGACAAAGCGCTATCGGCAATGTGCAGATCGAACCGCCAATGCACACCTCGTTTTCGCGGCAGGACTGACCAGGTCGAGCTACAGAAGCATAGAAAGATAGATAAAATAGAGGAAGCAACGTTTATGAAATTAGAAGCGATGGAGTTACATGCAAAGACAGCTCATGCAGCTTATAACTATTCATCACTCCTAAGTGAAAACGTAGAATTACTATTTGAATTTTTGGTGTTTTTACGTTGCCCACAACACTTGCGCGTAAACAATGGTAATGCGCGCCCTAAGGCCATGTTTTACGCGCAAGTCGCAAGCAAGTTGGCGGCATCTATGAACATGCCACTTGTTCATGCGCAAATGCTGTCAAGAGCGTAAGTACACCATTTATCCCTGAATCTACTAGCCCAAAACGTTGTCAAGTGTTTTTGCTACATACTTTCAATGTTTGCGCGTGCGTGTAATTGCACAATTCATTGCTCAAACGAAAGAGGATCGCGCGCGAGCTCTCGATTGAGCTCGCTTTCACCTGGATCAACATTGTGTGACCCGAGGGCAGCTAGCGTTGAAATGCAAATATCTCGGCTGTGTTTCGGACTCGATTCGTCTCCTCAAACGTTTCAAGTGTTTGAACACTGAAACACTGACAAGACTGAACTTTGATCGCCCACATTCAATAATTCTAAAATTCCAGTATTTGATCTTGAAAAATAATAAAAATCTTTCGGAAAATCATGCTGGATAACAGCCGATGTTACTTATCAAGGGTTGAAGGCACTAAAGAAAATGCAAACTTCTAGCAAACAGTAACGTAGCAAAACATTTACCTAAAAAAACCATCACTATATGAATTTTTCCAGATCGCAGGAGTGTTTTAAAAAAATTTGTGACGGCTCTCTACGCAAAAAAACTAGCTTTGTCCTAAACAAAGTATTTTTCTTCTATTTTGGAACACTCAAGTTTTCATAGAAGCTTTGCAGCAGAAAGAGATACTTGATTTTTCAATAGAACCAAATAATGAGAAAACTAAAGCAATTTGAACTTTTGAGCAATTTCAATCGATTGTCCCACTTTGTTCATTCCAAAACAGCAGCGATTAACCCCCGTTCATTGAGTTTGCTCGAGACATCCCAACGGAAAAAAAAATTCGAAACAATGCAGGTGTGCAAATAT